CTTCAGTCTGGCAACCGTTTTAGGGCCTGTAGGGCCTGAATTCGGTTGTCAGGCTGAAATGTCTCCGGGGCCTGTAAGCCCTAAGTTTTAGGCTTTTAGGCTGACTGTCTGGGACGGGCCCTGTAGGGCCCGTGTGGCTACGCAGTATGCCACACCGGGGCACCCCGGGGTGGCTGGCGGGAATGGAGAGGTCCCGCGAGGACGGGGGGTCTGGATATGGGATCCGGTAATCCCATTCGGCTTCCACCTCCGGTTGCTGCTGATGATGATGACCCGGCTCCATCAAGGTTGAGATCGAGCACACGCGAAACGGGCGGCGATGGCACGACAGCCTCCTTAACAAGCGTCGCCACACTCCCAGGCACGGGGTCCGGATTCCGCGGTCGTGCGGACTGAATCACCTCCTCGCCGCCGCCAATCCTGCTGCCTTGCGCCCCTGGCGATGGGTGGTGTCTCTTCCTCTTCGGCGTCTTCTTGGGGGCCTTCGGTGGCGCTGGTCGGGGATATGACGAGGGAGGCCGCAACGGCCTTTCCTCCGCGAAGTCCTCCAATCTCTCCGCACGCTGCGCAATGTAATCCGGGATGACGACCACGTTGTACGTTCTCCGTGGGGCCGTCGCCATCCGCAATCGCGGTTGGATCTCCTCCTCCTCGCTCGCGATCACTTGCGCAATGGAGAGGAGCTCAAGGTGTATGAGCTCCAACAATCCCGGATCGATCGTCTGGAGCTGGGCGAATGGGTACAACGCGACCGTCCCTTCCTTCTCTGCTGGCTTGGGCCGCGTGATGACGTAGTAGACGACAAAGTGCTCCCCGATGCAGTGGTCTTCGTGCTCCACAAAAAAACGGAACATCCCCAACGTCACCGACTTGTACAGCGCCCGGTGCAACTCCCACGCGTCTTCGTCGAGGAAAGGCAGCGGCTCCACGTCAGTTAGCTCCACAAAATACTTCGAGAACTCGCGCATGGGATAAGGGCCCTCCGTGAGCTGGTAGGGGAGGGTGGTATAGGAGAAGAACGGAGGCATTTAGTACGGGACAGGGGGAATAGCTTGGAAGTTGAGAGGAGCAGCGGGAGGGAGAAGCGCGGGGAGCTGCGGCACCAACGCAATCGGTCCGTCCTCTGCCCTACGCAGCAGCACCTTGTGGGCTGTGAATCGGTGTCCCCCCCGTCCTTGCAATTTGGCCACTGATCTGGCCGCTTCCACCGCGTATTCGCGCACAAAGCTGCGCGCCGGCTCCCGATTCGGCTGCGGTAGGATCGTCAAGTCTCCGATGAAGGTGGCGACGTTGTGCACGAAATTGGGTGCCACCTGGAGCATGCAGAACTCAATGAATACTCGGGTCGTCTCCCGGCCAGGCAATTGTGTCACGTCCACGTACACCCCCGCATACGTCAGCCGATCGCAAAGCAACGAGTACGCCGCCAAATCCACAACCCCGGGCGCCGGCACGTTCACCTGCTGAATGTCGTACCGCAACTGCCTCTCCTCATTGAACCGATGCCGCAACAGGCGATCTGCAAGCGGCGTCTGGAAATGCTCGAGGGGCTCATGCTCCGGCTGGCGATGGTTCATCCTGCTCCCTGAAGCTCTCAGCACCAATGGACGAGGCAGATCGGGAAGAGGAGGAGGAGGAGGATGAAGAAGGAGAGGGTGATCTCGCAAGAGCGGGGGTCCGTAGGGGACCTAGCGATGGCTGGAAAGGCCGGAGCGCGACCGCGTGCCATGTCAGCGGTCGGGCCTGGGAATTGTCCCGGGGAATCAGCTTCACGGAGTGCTGTCCCTGTGCGCCAACTTCCGTGACCTCGTAAATGCCTGTATAGCGCGGGTGGATCTTGGAGGAGCGCGCAGATTTTCGTACCTGCACCAAGTCCCCAACTTTATAGCGGGCCAGTGGTCCCGCCGACGCGTGTCGATTCTCGTAGTCACGGATCTGCCGTTGATATGTCCGATCTACGGCCTGCTGTCGACGGCGAGCTAACGAGGGATAGGCCCTAGCCATTAAGTCCATGTAGTGGCGGGCCTTGTATCGATTCTGGGCCCGTGTTGCTCTAACTTCCGTACCTGCTAAGGGGGACAATTGCACCCGAGGGACACTATTGGTTCTCAGTTGAAAGGGGGACACCCCAGTACTACCGTGTGGGGTAGCCCGATAAACGGCCAAAATCTGGTCGACAATGACCGGCAAGGGTTGGGTGTCTCCCACAGTGATATTCCGTCTAAGGGTCGTCTTAATCAGTCGGTTGGCATTCTCTACCAGGCCATTGGCTTGAGGCCAATGCCCCGGCGAGTAGATAATCTTAACGTCCGCCCTGACTAGGTGACGTTCTACTTTGCCTTGAAATTCCGACCCATTGTCCATATGTACCACTTCTACGTCTAGATGCATGCACAAAAATCGATTTACGTACCAGGCTACTTCCTGCGAATTCCGACTGGTCTTAGGGTACACCTCGATCCATTTTGAAAAATGATGGACGGCCACTAAAAGAACATTGAGTTCTCCCTGATCGGCGGGCCCTCTCGGAACGTTGATATCCGTCGTATCGATGCTAACCCTCTGAAAGGGGCGCTCTACACGAGTGGGCACCATCGTCCAAGGCATCTGTACCGGCGCCTTGTCCGCCGCGCAGGCCGGGCAATTCTGAACGATGTATTTCACATCTTCCCGAATTCCCGACCAGTACCATCCGTTCTTTTCGATGGCTTTTTCCGTGTACTTGACCGCGAAATGGACTGCATCCTCCTCATGAGCGGCTCGTGTCCAATCGATCCTAGCAAGAGGGTGTGGAACCGTCAACCAGCTAGACTCTCCGTCGTCATCGACCTTCCGTTTTTGTAACGTCGGGCCCTGCCAGCGATAGTCCTGCGCCCGCTCCGTGACTCTCCGTCGTTCGGCTTTGGTAAGTTCTGATAGCGAGTCGCCTGACAGTCTCCGTAGCAACAGGAGGTCCGTCCAGGCTTCTGCCCGACGGGCACTTGGCGCGAATCCGTCGGCTGTTCTAGCATCCAGGTACTGCTTCTCGGTAGGGACTTGGTCCGTTCTACAGTTGGGACAGACCCACGTCTTTTCACTTCGGTACCTAACGCACTGTCCGTGAGATTTGACCGTATGGCACTGACTACACTGTACCCATAAAAGAAAATTGGGCCCTCCCGGATGTGACCCTTCTTGGTCCGGGATCATAGGCAAGGTACAGAAGAAACAGAGACTTAGATGTGTTTCAGAGGATGAGTTGGGGCTAGAAGAGAGAGCGAGGGAGTTGGATGAGGGCAGAGAGATAGCGTCGGTCATCTCCGATGAAACCTCCATTCCGGACTCAGGCGTCGTCCTTACGCAGCACGTGTAGCTCCCCGTAGTGCGGTTTCGTCGCTGCGACTTCTGGCCTCCACGGAATGAGTCGCTCGTTGGCGGGACACTTGTTGGGCGGCAGGAGGCGCGTCAATCCATCGGCGTTACCATGTTGCCGCGTGGCACGGTGGCGGATGTCGAAGTCATAGTCTTGCAGACGCACCGCCCACCTGCCCAGCGTCCCTGTGTAGTCCGTGTTGTTGCGTAGGGACAGCAGCGGCTGATGATCCGTTACCAGCACGAATTTCTGGCCGTAAAGATACGGTCAAAAATGTTGGATCCCCCACACCACCGCCAGGCATTCACCTTTGCACGCTTCGTAATTAGCCTGCGCCTGGCTCAGCATCTTGGATGCATACTCAATGACGTGCTCCCTTCCGTCCTTCCCGTGCTTAGTCAGCACCGCCGATATCGCCTGAGGCTGCCAGCTGAGTCAGCACC